CTTTCGAGAGGAGGTTAGACAGTTTATGGTAGAACTCGTCCTTCACTTCATCCGAACTACAGTCAGTGGGTGCGTAAGCAGAGATTACAAAGAGACAACGGCGAGTCTCACTATTCCTTTTAGTTCTCACTGTGCCGTTCAGCCTCATAGCGCAGAGGCGACTATCAACTGGGATCCAGTCTAGTAGTGAGTTTTCTGCCCTGGTGCTTAATGCTATACCTACACCTGCAAGACCACGAGAGCTAGCTATCGAATCTCCAGAAACTCGAAGGGTGAATTTTGCAGATTCACCAGATTGGTCAGGAGAGGTCAGGTGAATAACCACACTTGGGTCCTGTATGCGTGTCTCACAAACACAGCACACATCCATGCCCGAGTTGCTAGAGTCTTTGCCAACGAAGCCTGTTGGCCAATTTGACGGAGGGTGCGGACATTGAAGGCTCCAATATGTAATTTGGAGCGTGGTTTAAGGAGACCAGGGATGCTGTTCTGTGGACTCAGATCGTTGTCGAAGGCTGCAGAGGTAGGAGAAATTGAAGATGATATGGCATCATTAGTTAAGAGACGTGAAGGAAGATTAGAAGGTAATGATGGAGGAGGAGGATAGCAGTCAGAAGAAACTTGGGTGCTGACAGAGTTGTGAGGGCGGTTGACACTTCCCGGCTGCCCACACCGTGGAAGGCTATTTCTTCTTAAGGTACCTGAAAGAGATTTGTGTGACCGCAGAGCCCATCGGACATCTGCTTGAGGCCTGTCACACCCAGCCTTTTGAGTATGATTATTTTGAACTTTTGTATTTTTGGGGCCGACCTTTTTTAACCCCCCCCCCTCCACTTCCACTGAGAAGGCAGCATCAGCATGGCACTGCTGGTCATCCAAGGGAAACATCTTACTGCTGTGACACCCCATCCAGCTAGCAGGAGTACGACTTCGCCCTCAGACCCCCATCATAGTGTAGCAATTTACACTATAACGGTAACTGCTTTTCGTCTAACCACTATCCAACAGACTTTTCTGATATGGTAGGACCTCGAGGGATATAGCGTTCTACCAGCATAGCTCGTTGGGTCATTGTGATATGCAAGCCCGACCACCACGTCAAGGTAGCAGCTATCGGTCGGGAATTTTGTAATTAGAGTGAAGGAGGTACTGCATAAAGTTTGAGAATCAGATATAGTGCCGTCAGACTGATCTACTTCTCTCATCACTCGAGTCTTTATGAGGCAGTCGAGTTTTCCTGTGACAATCATAGGGGAATGAATTAGTTCGACTAATACTGTGTTCAGGATCCGAGGATCCATAGTTATCCGACGCCCAACTGGAGCGTGAGAACAGTATACTGGAGAAAACCACGCAGGTTTCAGACTGAGCTGGACGAGGGAGGTTTTGGATCGTGGGAATACCTATCGGCGAGTTACACCTGCCACATTTTCTGACCTTAAGGCTGCATTTGACTCAGTCTACCGTGAGGTGTTGTGGCAGTGCCTGACTGTAAAGGGAGTGCCGAGAAATTGTATAACACTAATCAAAGCTGTCTACTCCAACCCACTCAGCCATGTAAGGGCTAATAGAGAGTTGTTTCCCAAGTTGATGGCAACTTATGGTGTTTGCCAGGGATACCAAATGTCGTTGTTCCTGTCTATTTTCTTTATACATCTACTACTGGGTAATACCTTAGGTAACTATGACTTCACGCACACTGACTTACTCCCTGGAGGTATATCTCGTTGATTTGGAGTATGCTGACAAAATGAAGGGTTCTGGACTCGATGAGCAGAAATCTCGGTATGTTTGGCAGGCTTTTCACTGGCGCCTGTCAAATGTAAGATGATGCTACAGGACTAATCTGTCGCAAGTACTCCTAGTTTAAGGATGGGGAGTGTAGTGGTGGAATGTGTCGACCACTTCACTTACTTGGCGAGTTACATCAAACCGAACGGGCTGGTTGTTGATGATATCTCAGCTCGGATACAGAAGAACCGTTTGGTATTTGTCAGATTGCGAGATATCCATCCATGTATCAAAGGACGAGTAAACTACGGTCCAGTCCATTGTGTCCTGTTGTACGACTATGAGACTTGACCGTTAACAGCAGAAGACATGAATTGATTACAAGGTTTTGATCACAGGTGTCTTGGTAGCAGTACTCGCATTTGATGGGATCACCGTGTGAGCAATGTTGAGGTGAGGCGAAGGGTACCAGGCAAGACAAGGAAGTCGACTGATGAGGTTGTGGACCTCAGTTGGCTGATATGGCTTTTACATGTATTGCGCATACTGATCCACCGCCCACCTCGACGTGCCACGCTAGGGGAAGTTGGATTTGGTTGGAAGAGGGTTCATGGCAGCACCCGATGAAGTTCCTAAGTGTTGCTCTGAACCGGATGGAGCAGATGTGGACTACGTGACTGGAGTCCTCGAAACGATAGAAATCAGTGTTTAAGGACTCTTAGAGGTTGATGAGAATCGGTCAAATGGCGCAAATGTGTTAACTCACTGATATCTTTTAAGACTTGAATATTTGCGCTAACCTTTATCTTCAAGTTGCTTGTTCTCTCACACAACTGTTTCTGTCCACTTATTCTTTGTATGCTACTGTGAAGTGTGGCAAATTGACCCGACTCACTTGTATGTCAGGTTCTGCGTTGATCTTGTCTGTTTGTTTGGAAGAGTTGTGCAAAGTGATGCTACAATTACATAACGTTGACGATCTCAGTAATGCAAGTAGTTGTGCAAATTTCTTTTGAATACAATAAATCAGTCTTTTAAAATGTTTTAATGGGAATTTCCAGTGCATTTTTTGTTTTGCTACTATTCCACAGACTTATTCGGCATGGTTAGGAGGTCAAGGAATAAATGTTCCCTGTAGCAGAGCTTGTTGAGTCATTTTGATTTGCAAACCTGACCACCACGTCAGGGCTACAACTATCAGGTAAATTCATCTGTGGATAGGACGATGAGTTTTTTTAGGGGGGCAAGCGATCAAGACATGTCAGAGGAAATCATATCCATTTGTTTTCTCGTTTTAAGTTATTTGCAGCGATCTCAACTTCTGAGAGTTTTAGAGTTAGTTTTATTCACCATATGAATGGATATTAAAAACTTCAGACTAGCTGAAAACCCTTCAAACTGTTACTTGACGTGTTCCGCGTATCTCTGCAGTCTTTACTGCGGGGGGACCACAGAATAGTTTTTCTTGACTATGATCTGAATAACCACTAACTTTTCATCTTAGTTTCCGTGATAGTTCTGACAACTTTCTTCTGTCATCCCTATCTTTTCCATCTCTTCCTTCGCATTCATTATACTGTACGAACCTACTTGGTTGACTGTAAGGAACTAAAAAATCCTCAAATCGTCAGATGTTGGGGCAGATAGAATTATTATGATATCGAGTGGAGATTCTATGATATAGTCAAGGAATTATTTATCTGTTCCATCAACTAACTTTGCCACTTTATGTTAAGTTTACTTTTTATACCCGAATAACTTATTGTTTAAAATTGAATTTTCACTTATGGATCTTCTGATAGATTTGAAGTAGCTTTACGTGAAGCAATGAGAGCAGGAAAAACTGGTGCCAGAAAAATGTAAAAGATAGTGTTTTATATTTATTTATGCACATTATTAGTATTGTGACTAACATAATAGCTTGTAAATAATGTAAGCTGAACTTATTCCTTTGTTTGAATGTGACTATGTTAAGAAAGACTTTTCATTAATTTCGTGACGTTGAATAACATCTGGTTCACCGTCATAATTTGAAAAACATTACTGATTACTGGTCTTCGACTTCGTATATTGTTTATCACTTCTTTGGATGGCAGTACCGTAGTGATGCATGTTGACTCAAGATTATCTATTATTTTGTAGAAACTCTATGGTCAAAATACTACATAAGTTGTATACTTTCATTTTAATATTACTGTGGTGTTTATACACAATTGGTGTACTAGCAGTTTAATTCTTTCGATCTATTCAGTTATCAAAAAGTTTAGATTTCAGTCTAAGTACCTATAAGCCATAGCTGTTGGATGAACCTTGACTCGTTCCACAACTTGTCCTTGGTATGAAATGCAGTTAGGCTAACTATATAGCGAGTAGTTCTGGTCAAGTACTTGTAAGGAGGAACTATCATTCATGTTATAGGTTGCTACTACTAAAATTATTTTCTTCAAGCTCTAAGCAAATATGGTTAATGCTGCTTAAGAGGGATAGTTTCATGAGGTGTATTTCATAACACTCAGAGTTTTTTGACAATCTTTAGTAGGTTCAAGGAATGTAGATGTAAACCCTAAATATAAGTTAACACAATGAAAGTATATCACAACAGTGTATAACGTTTATTATGTAATTAGACTCATTAAAGGTAGCGTACAGCGACTATATACAAAATCTGTAAATTAATTTCCAATATATCTTGCGTTTTGAAGCTAAGAAATCAACATTATGATCTAATTTAGTGGTTCCTGATCCTCTTGTTTCTGCAGAAGTATACAATGATAAAAAAACCTGCTACTTTTTGAATGTATGGCTATCTACAACTTATTATATTGTTAACACTTACCCTTCGTCTTGTTGCCCTTTCACCTTGATTTGCTGGTATGTGTGGAAATGTGAACCACTGCACAGTAATACCTGACTCCTATTACTCAAAATGTGCATAGCTTATGACTATTGATCAAAGGTAAACATGCTTATATCTTTCATTTTAACAGAGTAATCGTTGAAAAACAATTAAAACATCTAGTTTTCTATATTAGCTGAATCATAGCTCGTTTACATGTAATCAGCATATTTCAATTATGGAAACGGATAGAAACTAGAAAAAGATATCGAAGGAATATGCCAGTCGTGTATTTAAGTTAATGTAGTGAGTAATCAAGAGTTAAAATGCGGAAGTCAGTTGATATCAAATTCTGCACCTAAAATAAATTCTCAGAAGAATGACCACAGTTCAACCTGTTTCTAATCTTTTTTTTGTCATTCATTTTTTGTAGAGCTGGGTTACCAAAACAAATGGCTGCCCATACAACATTACAAACTTTGAAGAACTAAGTAGATGCTAGGTCTGGTAATACATGTTTAAATGCTATATATTTTGTGCTCTATGACCAAGAATCGATCAACATTTATACAGCTGAATTTAATCTACTCTTGTGAATAACATTTATAGTACTCTCAATGTATGGGAATAAACATTTTCATTCAAGTAACGTACATTTCAATATTTATATCCCCCCGGAGGATGGTTTATATTTTTAATGTTCTTTCATTCATTAACTAGACTATACTTATGATAATATAAATACTGGCTTTTGTACTTGTCTTTCACATTACGTTTGTTTACTCTTTATGACGAATGTAAAATTCACCTTAATTTAAATCCTTCACTCAAATTAAAAAGAGATTTTTACCTGTTTGCACATCTATTTTATTTATTACATTTCAAATTTTTCAAGAATATTTCATATATTTTCTTATCTTCTATGTTTGACCGCACTATACGTTCCGTGCTTATTTTAGCTGTGATTTTCAGCGTATCTCTATGTCATCATTACTGCCCTTATTGGCCTTACCAATGTAATGTTCTCCAAGAAAGATATCACCGCTACTACAAGTTCCCCTAATCAGATTTTCGTGTTATTTTTGACTCCGTCAGCTTACGTTTTCAATAATGTTCATTATCCACACCATTTTTATGTACATTACACTGTTTTTTGTGTCGAAAAATTACTTTTGAGTACGTGCAAATTATTCATTTTTCCTTTTTTCAGAATAAAATTTGATTTATCTACAAAGCCCATTTTTTATTTTTGACCACTGAAGATTAGATGTTACATTTGTAAAATTTTGTACTCATTTTTCGAGAAGATTTACAACGCATCAAATGAGATGAATTTACTTCTCATCTTACTTTACAAAATGATCTGACAAAATGCATCCGCTTACTTTTATACATAATGCATAAACTCTTCTTTTTTTCTTCTATGTGCCCTGCTACAACTTTTAGTTTTGAATACTGGATGACTTGTTTAGTTTCACTTAAATACAAAGTGCTTTCATTGTTATGATTATTAAAGAACATTTAATTTAAATTTAACTTAGTGAGCGTAAATCAGTTGACATGAAGTTGCGTTAAATGCTCCACACAATCGGTTTCTGAAAATGAAAATAGTAACAATTGATAAATTGTGTACTCATGCTACATTGTTTGTATGTTACAATATTTTTATATTTCCTGTCTGAATAGTAAAGTTATAGCTATCCTATCCATTGCTCACTTTTCTCACTGGCGGAAATTTTGTTCGTTGGTTATCTGCTTGGATAAGTCTCACGTGTCGCAACTCGGAAAGTATGTTTTAGTAATATTGTATAAAATCACCAACAGCATGCAAGCTGAGCAATGTAATGCATCTTCACATGTTTTACTAAGTTTTCTGGTCTATGACTAAATTCATTTGAATTTTACACTACCAAGTTTAACTGTTATCTAATCATTTGAAGTGAAACTTAAATGTGCATCAGAAAAAGTGAATTAGCCCAAACTCTTCGGCGATTTCACACAAAGCTGTCCAATCGCAAACATACGATCGATAACCTCATTTCTATAAACTAACACAACGTCCAAACCGTACAAAGAGACATTCACCTTGGTGTCAAGCAGACGCTCTACATGAATTTAGCCTCCAAGCGGAATCCAGTGCATAATACTTAAAAAAAGGCGTCACACTACAGTGATCTTATTATTCATCATCTGATCAAATCCATATCCACGCATAGCCAAGTTCACCTGCTTTTGTAGAGCAAGGCTTGCATGTTGGATGTATCTTTTATCCAAATAGTTAAAGATCACTATAATGCATGGTCGCAAAGACGTGGCTGTGGATATATCAGAAGCGCCATCATTGAATGCGTCGCCCACAGCAGTGATTCTATTTTGACGCACTTCAGTTTCAAACTTATTTATCAAGTAAATCTCCCAAACACTACGCGTTTTCACGCTCCCTTAGCGAAATCCTGATCAATGTACACCGTAGAAATGTGTTCAGTCCATTCAGCAGCGAAAGGCCAGGTCTTACTGAATAACACCGTAAGTTACCACGCCCCATAGCACATTCAGCAAGGTAGCCATAAAATGAAAGACAAAGAAATAGAGAACAATCCGTCAAAAACAATGAATTACGGGAACGAGAAAATGCTGCAGTCAGTAAGACGATTACGATAAAGATAATGTGTGGATTCATTATCACAAATCGGTCCTAAGCCATGTCAGCTAGTCTCCAACCACGTCACGTGGACCCCAGCCGACTACTCTGCATCTCCCTACATGGCTCAAACCAACAGCCTGAGACTTCATGTACTGATGCCATGTTTTAGTCTGACCGTTTTCCAGCCTGAACAGAATTCAACTAAAATTGCGCAATGAGTCAGGTGTTGACTAGGCATGCGCAACACATGTCCCAGCCATCTGAGTCTATGTAGATCCACCACCTTATCAAGTGACCTTCCTCTCCCCCCTAAAGGTCTACGTCTGACTTCCACATTAATGAAACGGTGACATCACAACACACCGCCAATGCTATGTGACCCACGGCGGTCAAACACCAGAAGCCTTCTCATTTCCTCAACCTTTAGTAACCATGTTTCCCAGACATGCAGTAGAACAGCGCAAAATGCAGCACAGCACACTCGACCCTTAATAATAATCGAATGCCACAGCGGCGTCACAGATGGCGTAAGTTTGCAAAAGCCAAGAGATTCTTTTAGATCTGTGCAGAGATTTCGTTAGTCATCGACACAAACAGGGCAGATCCGACTTCCCTGGTAAGTGAAGCGACCGGAGTACTCAACCACTTGACTCCCTATTGTTAGCCGGGACACCACTCAAGACCGGTCTTGGGGCATAAATTTCCATTCAGGTGACAAGGAGCACATCTCAAACTGCTACTTAGGGTGTCCAGAAGGCTCTGCATCTTGTCAGCGTCTTCACCCAAAAGGGCTACACCATCTGCCTACTCTAGATGCACCAAAGTGTCTCCTGTGGTTAGATCAATCCCTGTGATGTCATATGACGACAGGGAGACTGCCTTTGACAAAACTGAACAAGAACGGAGAGAGTGAACATCCTTGGTGTACACCGGTCGATGTACACAACTCAACTGATGACGCACCATAGGCTTTAACACACCCACAGGTGTATGAATAAAGAGCCTTTAGCAGAGTGACGCACTTATATGGTACCCCTTTCAGTGAGAGATACTGACAGAAGACCTCTCAATCGACGGGATCAAAGGCGTCTTTCATATCGAGAAATACAGCCGTTGTCGGGCACCGCTAAGTGTGCCTGTATTCCAAAATCTGGTGGAATGCGAATATCTGGTCGATGCACCCGCAGCCAGGCTTGAAGTCTGCCTGATTTTCTTGTTTCGCTGTTTCTGCGTTGCACTCAGATGTCTGCTGGTTCCAGAACCTAGATTCTTAGATAATATGCTTGTCAGTGTGATTTCTCTTTGATTATCACAAGAGGACTTCTCACCTTTCTCCGAGACTAGGCAATTCAGTGGTCGAGATGAGTCAGAAGGAATCATTTTTTGAGTCGACTACGGTCTTTAACGCTGTTTTTACGGCAGACCAGATGGTATCTAGTTTCGTCCGTATAAGTGCTTCTGTTCGTTTCTAAAATCTAGCCACTTCTTTACTGAAAGCAGCCTTAACACTGTCACTTTCATGCTGCACTTGCAGTGGTCTTGTTGCTAAGATTTCCCCACACCCATTGCCATGGAATAACATACGCGCTCGAACTTACGCTTGGTCCCTGTCCAAACATGTGCTCTTGGAGGAGCTACAGTCTTCCACCGACCCTCTCTAGCGACGACCGATAGCTATGTGATCTATCTGTCCGCCGCTGAGTTTAGTTTGGTAGACATCACATCAGTCAATATTCTCTCTTTATATTTGGAGTTTGTGCCAGCTAGAATTAAACGGTTGTCTGAGGACAGTCTCAGCAGACGATTGCCTGGTTGCATTACATGAAATCTGTTGAGGGTGTTCTATTTTGATGACTTTTCAGCTGTGACACCAGTCCTTGTCAGAATGTTATCGTGGGTACTCCTTGTTTATGCCACTGCCAATTCCGGTCTCACAGTCTTTAACTGTTGATGTGATTCGATTCTAGAAACATGTCAGTGTTGCATCGTTGTGTTACTACAATCAGTCAATAATACGTGAATAAGCTCAACTGAACTGTTTAGGGACGATTCATACAACCTGGGATTGCTGAAATTTTCGAATATGCGAGTTACAACGTAAATTATGTTTCCGTTTTTGTGTGCGTAAGCATTGTACCTCTAGTTATTGCGAATTTTGGAGTCCCGTTTTAATCATTAGTATTTATCCATTACGATAACAAGACATCTATATTAAAGTGCACCTTTAGAATGGGAGGGTGTGATTAATATACGAGTAAGACTGCCGTGTTTTGGCGCACTGTGCTTCTTTTGTACGAGCATGCAGGATATATCGTACCCAAAAAGTTATTGAATAAGTGACATCGCTTAGCTATGCGACGCATCCAACGAAGGAAATGAAATGAAAGAATGTGGAAGTGATTGATTATTGATTCTGATAGCGTGCAGCAAATTACATGGTTGCTCTGTGTAGCGACGTCAACTCTCTACCTCAACTTCATCGACTTTGAAAAGGCCCTCGACAGCGTCGACCGAGAAGTAATTTAACAGCTGTTGCCAAACTACGGTTTTGGTACCACAAACCTTTATCAACCTCATTCAACGGCAGCTATATGCTATATGATGCTACATGCCAAGCGATTCACAGTCGAAAGCTCAGTGACGCCTTTGAAGTGAGGACAGAAAGGAGTAAGACAAGGCTGCCTGCTACTATCACGGATGATCTTCCTGATTGAGGTCGACTGGATCATGCAGCAAACCATGAGGAGCGAGAAGAGGAGCATACGCTGGCTGGACTGCTGAAAAGACCCCAGGAGAAGACTTGGATTTCGCCGATGACGACTTATGTCTAGTGTCTTGTCGCACAAA